AATTTTTAATGTTTTGTTATCTTTTGAATGTGCTTATTTCACGTTAGCAACGACAGGCGTGATGGCCTGGTGACCCTTGTCACAGGTAGTTCGAAGATCTGAAACGCTGGTGTTACCAATGATGGTTAATTTTTTTTTTTTTTAAAGACTCTTGTTCTTATGGTCTGACTTCTTTGATGCTTGATCTTTCTGTTATGGGACTTGTGCTGATTTTCTTGGCTGTTTTGCCAAACAGGGACCATCTTTGGTTTAACATCATACCCTGATGTGAGCAGAAAAGTGTTCATACATTGTTTTGGATGTGGGTTTTGACTTCACTGCTGTAAAGTAAAACAAACTATTCTGTTGTATTATAGTTGATTCCATGTGTTTAGTAACACAAGGAATGAAAAGAAGTAATGGCTGTAGCGTGGCCCCCTAAGGCTTCTGTTGATTTGGGATTTGCTCTGAGAAATATTGGAGATCTAAAGAGGTTTTTTTTGCCCCTTTTCCTCTGAGGACTAACCTTCATCTTTTCTTTTATGTCACTCCTTTCGGCTTTCTCTCCCCATCTTTTCCCTCTTTTGAAGAAAAGGGAAATAATAGAGCCAGGCTGGGAAGAAGGAGATGAGAAGTAGTGAAGGAAAGAAAACAAACATTTTATTGTATCTCTGTTATTAGCTCTTTATATATTGTCTTTCTTAGTCCAATTATTCTGTGAAATAGCAATTGATTTTACAGAAGAGAGAGCATGTAGAGGATTTGGTGACTGGTGGACCTGAGATTTAACTCCGATATACTTCACTCCAACACATTCTGTTTGCACTGAGCCACCTGGAAAAGATGTTGGAAATCGGCTAGTTCAGCTTCCCATCTTATATCTAAACAAATACATTGTGTATATGTTACTGTTTATAAAAAAGTTATATCAGAGACTACACTAAACATTTTTCATGTGTTGTCTAATATGCATCCTAACTGTATAAGGCATAGAGAGATGAAGTAACTTGCTTAAAGTCATTGATTGAGTAAATGGCACAGTCTAGATGTCACTTTGAGATTTTTTTGATTCCAGAGTCCATTGTTATCCTCTACCATCTGGATGTTTCTCTTCTACGTGAGGAAACTAAATTTTTTTTTATTATGAAATCTATTGTAAAATTGGTTTCCATACAACACCCAGTGCTCATCCCAATAGGTGCCCTCCTCAATAACCATCACCCACCCTCCCCTCCCTCCCACCCCCCATCAACCCTCAGTTTGTTCTCAGTTTTTAGGAACCTCTTATGTTTTGGCTCCCTCCCTCTCTAACCATTTTTTCTCTTCCCCTCCCCCATGGTCTTCTGTTAAGTTTCTCAGGATCCACATAGGAGTGAAAACATATGGAATCTGTCCTTCCCGAGGAAACTAAATTTGACAGACTTTAAGTGACCTTCTCAAGATCATCAGTTCTCTGATGACAGAACAAAGTCTAGACTCTAGATTTCCTGACTGCTGGTTCTTTGCTCATTCTGTTGTTCCACAGTGGGTGGTATGTGCTCGGAAATGGAGTGAAGTAAAAGCCTAACCAAAACGGAGCTGTAACATTGTGCCACCTGGTTCTTCCACACCTCAGAGCTCAGCCACACGTGTCCTCATGGACTGAATGAGAAATAATAGAGGCAGGGAGAAACTGGGGGCAGAAGTGTCTTTATGAGTTATATCTATTAAAAATATACACACCCACACATTCTTTTCTTTCTTTATATTACTGAATCCTGAATATAACAAATCAGAAAAGGGTTTCTGATAGTTCACTTTATAAATAGCTTTAAATTCTTGTTAGTTAAACTGAAGTTATTCATTGCATGAGATTATTTTTTTACATTTCTGTATTGTCAAGCCTAACAAATCAAAACATGGTGAAAATAGTTCTTTTCTCAGAAACGCTGCAAGGATCTCTAAGTTTAAGCAAGTTTCCAGTGTAGTGTGTATAATAAATCACCTGTCTCTGTTTCAAAATTGTCAGCAACAGAATGGAAACTGTAGCACTTACCAAAGGATCAAGTACTGAAATAAAAATAATCTGCCTTTTAACAGTCACATGGTTTCCATAAATCAAAGCCATCTTCTGGGAGAAATTCCTTGTTATCTTTACTGAATGAGCAACAGCGGCTGTTGACCTTTGATAAGTGGAACCTAGGGTATGATTTGGGTATTTCTTCTTCAATTCCTTTAGTGTTTACTGCATACCTACAGAGCACATGGAGGGATAGGGCAGAGCTTGATGAGAGGAAGAAAAATAAGAAGGCCCCCAGAGACCCTGTGCTTTGCCCTCAGAGAGATTGATAGTGATGGCAAATCAAGTAGAGAATCCCCAATCTTGCATTTCTTCTTTCTTGCTTCCTGTTCTGTCTCACGCCCAGGTGGTGCTGTATTTTGATACTGCAATAGTAATGAGAAATATGTCCTTCTCTGTGCTTGGTAAAGAATGACACAGTATAACTCTGCCTGTCACATTCACGCAGAGGGTGGCTTGTCTTGCCACATGGGGAGCATTCCGTTCCTACCCTTTCATGTTACACACTAAAGCCAGTCATGAAAAAGAAAGATAAATGATAAAGACGTTTAAAAAAAAACCCAATGTCAATGCACAGGAGGTGAAAAACTGCACTTCCAAGAAAACCCCAGCTGAAGCCAGCATACTTTGTATCGTTGCTATGGGTGAAGTCGTGGTTGGGCAGGTACCCACACTCCAAAGACCTGTCGTGCCACATTGAACATGGTGGACTTGTTCATATCACTTAACTCTCCTGAATCTCAATACCTTCACATGTAAGAGATCAAAACTATTTGTTGGGCACAAGGGACTATCTTGTCTGCATAAATGCAGCCTGGTTCTGCCAGCCTTGTGTGTTATTCTTCATTCTGTCTGAAAAAGAAGGAGGTGGATACTCTGATTATGTGTGGAGTGGTTACAAAATATTGAGATGACGTTCTTCAGTCATGCAGTAGAGCTCACGGCCATGGAAATAGGGTTCCCTGTCCTCCTCCCCTCCCTGCCCCGCCCGGATTTCAACCTAGATTTCTTAGAAGTTGTTCCTAGTTGTGTCAGAATATAGATACTCTCTGTGTTAGAAGCTAGTCTTATTTGTCAACCCTTGTTTTTTTGCCCTGTCCCCACCCCAGCCCCATTAATGCATGGTGCTGTTTTAAAGGATTTTTAACTGTTTTCTGAATTGAATGGTACCCTTCAAAGAGGAGGATGTGCTTTTGCCAGTGCCATTTTAAGCATAACATTGGTGGCTCTGATGCAGTGTAAAAAATATTTTGGGTAAACATTATAATAGGGGTCTCTTAGGAAAGCTTTTGAGTGGGTATAGCACTTGATGTATTTAAGTTCTAGAAGTTGATTTTTTTTTTTTACTTCTGTCATTCAAACTTTTATTACTTAAAAAAAAACATTTTTTTACTTGAGTGTAGTTTACATACTATTTTACGTTACTTTTGGCTGTCAAAAGAACATAGTGATTCAACTTCTCTGTGTTACGCTGTGCTCACCACGAGTTACCTACCATCTGTCACCATACAATGCTATTACAATGTCATTGACTATATTTCCTATGCTGTGCCTTTTATTCCCGTGATTTATTCATTCCATGCCCGTAACTTGATTAAAAAAAAAAATTCTGTGTGATCATTTTGTTATATGATGGGTGAATGAAAGTTGCTGGAGAACTTTTGGGGCAGTAGAAAGAGGTGCCTTAGGCTCACAGGCAGATAAGTTAACTTTTTATTGGTGGGGTGCAGGGAATCACTGAGAGGTATCACAGATTATCCAGAAATCTACTCTGCTCCAAACAGAGGGCGGTTTAGATTAAGAGATGGCTTGCTTTATGTAAAAACATAAATCATGCTTCTATGAACAGGTAATTTGTTACTCAGTTGAAGGGAGAGATCTTCCTGGCACCATTTTGTTTTAGTATGATTTAGTATGTTTTAGTATGATCATAGACCCTATGGTTAAAGGGTCTCTTGTCACCTTTTTATATTTAAAAAGGTCACCCCTTGATATAATACTATTTCAAGTTTAGATCCTCTTGCAAATAAACATGTGCTTTTCTAACTAAAATTTGAACTGTGAAAAATAGAGGAAATGGGCTAGTTTGCCATCGTCTGAGGCCTTGGTCCCAAATGACATGATTAAGAAAGTTAGGGTAATTTTTTAAGTCAGTGATACTTGATGGTTCATGTTTCTTTGTTCTTGTTAGCCTAAAGGAAGACAATGGGTTGGGTTTCCAGAGTTATAAGTACAGGAGAGTGTGGCCACCAAGATTTAGTTATTCATGTTCCTACACATGTATTTCCTCTAAAATAAATTAAAGTTCTTCTATCAGTTTATATTATATACAATATATATAATATAATATGTGTATTATATTGTATATATATATATAAAGATTTTTTTTTTTAATTTTGGAATTGGTATGTTAGAGATTGCAGGATGAAGGGAAAATAACTTTTTGTGTCTTCTTTGCTCCCCTCTCAAATCTTTCCTTTAGAAAAAATAGCCTTTGTGTTTAAAATGTAACTACTTGTAAGTACCTGCTATGCGCAGGGTGAAATCAGGCTGAAGCAAACACTGAAGTTAACCACAGAGAGAAAAGCATCACCCAAAGTACTAAATCATTTCTACCCACTTGGTGGGATTACATAATGTGATTTTCCATACAGAAGCTTCAATTAATATTTTTAGAATGGATCAGAGTCACCTTTTGCCTTCTGTAGTCAACCACCAGTCATTATAGTTACTGTAGTTTTTTGGAACAAGTCCGCCCTTCCAGTAGGGAGGAATGACTAAATCGTATGTGAAATAGATGGTGATATTCATACTGGTAAGAATCTCAATTCTTTGTGTCCATTTTCTGTGTTTGGTATGGCCTTTGTAGTAGCATATTCATGTGCTTAATTTCCCCATTGGCATCACACCTGGGAGGAAGAAAGGTGTGTTTCTCCTAACAGCTCTCTTCTCTTTCTATCAGGGCGTGTTGGAGAGCTTCCTGGGCACAGCTGTCTCTGGGGCCATCTTTTGCCTGTTTGCCGGTCAACCACTCACGATTTTGAGCAGCACAGGACCTGTCCTTGTCTTTGAGAGGCTTCTATTCAATTTCAGCAAGTATGTGTATACATGTCTAATTATAAATTAGGATTAATTCTAGAACACAGTCTAGATATAGCACCGAATAGTAATTAGGTGGGTCAGAATATGGGAATTTTGAGATTCGGAGGTTGAAAGGCCCTTGGAGATTGGGTAGTCCAACACTCATTTTACATTTGATTCAGCTGAGGGCCCATATGTTGTACTATCTACTTGCCCTCATCATTATTCTCTATCCTTCTAGTCCTGCTTTGTGCCACAGGGGCTGACCCAAACACTAAGTCTCCTTTGCCCTCTGGCTTATTGTTGGGTTAGACTAGTGCACGAGTAGGACAGGAAGGGAGGGAGAGAGGTCAGGGTGTGGGTCCACCACCCTGTACCTCACAGTCCCTGCTTTAACGCTGCAGTCTGGCAGTGGCTTGTCCCCTGAGTAGAGCCTCTGTACAGTGGCTCCACTGGCCTGGCTCTACCCTCACTAGGCTCTGGTGACTCTCTTCCTTCCTTGGCCTTTTGAAGCCAGGAGGTAAAAATGGCTCCCTGATGTTTCCAGTTCCTGAGTACTTTGCCATTCTCTGTTACTCACACATCTGTAAATAGCCCATTTATTAAGTTTTCCTCACAAACCCATTTGAGAATGCCATCTATTTCCTGTCATGATCCTGGCCGACAAGAAATGAAATGTCTTGTTCAAGGTCCCATGGCTCATTAATGAGAGACTAGTTGTTCCAGTGATCCACTGCTCCTGACCCTGATTCCAGTGTTCTTAACTAAAGATTCATTTCAAGAGCCAGCTTAGTAATAGCATTTGTTGAGTGTTGAGTGTTGATCACATACCAAATATGATCCGAAGTGCGTTACATGTACTTCCTCATTTCATTCCTGTAGCAGTGCAATGAGGTAGGGACCATACCCTGTTTTATTATTTTTATTTTTATTTTTAAATGTTTATTTATTTTTGAAAAGGGCGGGGGAGAGAGAATCCCAAGGAAGCCCCACACTCAGTGCGGAGCCCGATGTGGGCCTTGATCTCAGGACTGTGAGATCATGACCTGAGCTGAAATCAAGAGTCTGATGCTTAACCAAATGAGCCACCCAGGCACCCCCAACCCCACCCCCATACCCTGTTTTATAGATGAGAAAACAGGCAGGGAGAGGGTAAGTGCATTTTCATAGGCCCCATTACCAGTTGTTGGTGGGACTGGGATTTGAATTCTGCTTTCTGACTCTGGATACTATGCCTCTTATGAAATTACTATACACTCCTAATGGACATAACAATTGTGATATCATATTTTCTTTTAGAATTTGATGGATCATTTTAAGAAGGAGAAAATCAAGTTAAGCGAATTATCCAAGTGGCCACATTAGCACACAAATAAATTCAAAATCAAATTGGGTATTCTGGCCTCTTTCTAGTGAACTCGATACCTCTCAGAGAGAATTGCCTTTCCCAGCAGACCTCAATCCTTCGGCAGATTGCAGAATTTCATATTGACTTGCTGGCACTCCTTGTTGGAATTTCCATATTCTTATATTGTTATAAATTTTTAAGATTTTGTTGTTGGAAGTTTTGTTACCTACATGATACCTCATGGACTCAAGGGCTGATAGAATAGCCTTTGAAACTGTACGTTACCATCAAAAGCTATCACAAGATAGAGAAGGCGGTGAGAATTTAAAACGAGTGTTTTGAAAACTGGGCTGAGAACATCAGCAAGATCTTATGAGAATTTAAAGCAATAATGTGAGTTTTCTGTAGCTCATCACTACAAATCCCTCCTCCATCATAATTCTCAGAAGGACATTGGAAAGAATTTCTATTCGTGTCAGTTTATAGAAAGTCAAACCATTTTTATATGTTTAAGAAAAGATTGTGTGAGACAAGAAAGCTTTTGTGGAAAGATGGAACAAGCATGTACTATAAACAGGAACAAACATGTGCAACCTTTGCAGAAAGATTTATTGGATGCAATGTGATCAGAGCCTTAATATACAGAAAATGTTTGCGTCCCAGTTTACTTTAGATAATTGTAGGATAGAGATTATTTCCTTTCACTAAGCAAGTTCCTTTCTCACTTTCCCTTCTGTTTCATCATAATTGGTAATGTAAACATAGTTCCAAGTGATTTGAAAACAGTTGTAAAGCAACAAGAAACATTTGAAAAACTGTGCTTTAAATTCATCACTGAGTAGCATGTGGTGCTTTAAGGCAAACCATGTCCTTTTGTTCATAATGCTGTGTCATTTGCTTCTGTATTGTAACAACAGTGCTAATATTTTGTTTAGATATAGAGTATTTGTGTAGATCACTATTTCTCAAAGTGTATTTCCTCAATGATTAGTCCCATTTAGGTGTTTCATAGAAAAAAAAAGCTCTGTGATCCCCATAAATCTGGCAAATGCTGTATATTTGCTTCCTCTTAGTAATTCATTTTACATTTCAGCTTACTAAGGGATCTGAGAAGTCCTTTAGTAAAGAAACTGCTTTAGTCTGTCTTGCCCAGATTTCCCCCCAAAATATTTTACTGTTTTTTTTTTAAGTAGGTAAATCTTTGTTTTGTAGCTTCAGTGGACTCAAGCGTGACTCCACATAATCCACAGATTTCCCTCTGACGTGGAATACAGGTTTTAATGTTTGGCCTATAAACTGGAGAATCATTAAGGAATATGAAAGATGTTCTGTCACCTTTTAAAATTAGTAACAGAATGACAGCTTACAACTTTCCAAATGACAATTGTAGTTTTTTCCCCCTAATTCTACAGTCTTCTTTGCACTATTTTTACACATTGTAAACCAGTAACAGAGAATTAGATACCTTTTCTTTTTCTCACGCAAAGAATCTGAAAGTTTTTTTTTTCTTAATGTTTACTTTTGAGAGAGAGAGGGAGAAAGGTAACGTGAGTGGGGAAGGGCAAAGAGAGAGGGAGACACAGTATGAAGCAGGCTCCAGGCTCTGCTCTCAGCTGTCAGCACAGAGCCTCATGTGGGGCTTGAACCCACACAATCCGTGAAATCATGTCCTGATCCAAAGTTGGATGCTTAACCGACTGAGCCACCCAGGTGCCCCTGGAAGTTTTAACACTGTGTCTAAGCCATGTAGAAACCTCTAATTAAAGTTGGATTTTAGCCTGTATAATTGCATTTAGTCATTCAATAATTTTTTTCCTTCTATTCTTTGAATAATTTATTTAGAGGCCTTCAAATGATTGTTTTCTTCTATTATGTTGTTGGATTTATTCATGTAGTTTAGGGAGTTTACATTTGTCAGTGACTTGAACATTAATTTCTGTAGCATGCCTCTGATGAGTTCTTCTGTTTGTCTGTACCTTGGTTTTATGCTACTCAGAAACTGTAAGTCAAAATATCTAGGAACACTGTGATATCATAAGGATATAAACCCATTTTCTCATTTGAATTCACCATAGTTTCTTTTGTCTCTACTATCATTTACTGTTACTTTTTATAACTTAATTGCTATTTAAACTTGGCACTAAAGGGACTGATAGTCTTGTTGGATGTAATATTGCCACTTTATTGTAGTCATTACTGTTGATCAACTTGTTTTAAAGTTTCTCATCTCTTATTCCTCTTTCTTCTTGCTGCTGTAAACATATCACTTTTATAATGAAGTGCCATCGGTTTTAGTGATTTTATTTGGGTTATTCTTATAGAGCTACTCTGGGAATATTTAAGTATTTTAGAGCAGCTATTTTGGTATATTGTTTAGATCCTAAGATTTAAGTTTATATAGGCATTTTTTCCCTTTGTACTCAAACTGACTGTTCCTAACCATTAGCTGGTTATTGGATTTGTTTCTCATCCTGTCCTATAAACATCAATTCTCTAAACAACCATTAGCATTCTTAGGACAAATCAAGACTGCCCTGTCATCTTGTTAGGGAAACAAAACTAAGTAATTGTTTAAAACTTTTTATTTTAAGAAAAAAGTTTGTTGGCTCAGAAGTAATAAAACTGTTTCTTAGCCCTGACTCCAAGACTTGATTCATTGTGTAATAATGTAAATTGTCTCAGGTTCCTAGAATTTAGCTTTTTCTATACTCTACTTATCTCACAGAGACAAGCATAGGATTAAGCAGTGGGATTGTAGATCTAAAGAGAACTATAAGGGAATGCAAAAGATGTCCTCAGGAAGATTCCAGGATTGGGGCGCCTGGGTAGCTCAGTCGGTTGAGCCACTGACTTCAGCTCAGGTTATGATCTCACGGTTTGCGGGTTCAACCCCACGTCAGGCTCTGTGCTGACAGCTCAGAGCCTGGAGCCTACTTCGGATTCTGTGTCTCCCACTCTTTCTGCCCTCCCTTGCTTGCACTCTGTTTCTCTCAAAAATAAACATGAAAAAAAAATTGAAAAAAAGAAAGATTCCAGGAAATCCATAGGAGATAACTTTCTGCCCAAGTGTTAATAATCTCCTGCTTTGGTAATATATTCCAATTCAGGTGATTTGGTGAAAAGAAGGAAAAAAAGGACAGTGATTTTAAGGTCCACCCTAAATATAACTCAGGGGAATGATGGTGAAATTTTTTTTTTTCCAGCATGTTATTATTTATTTATTTTTTATTTATATATGAAATTTATTGTCAAATTGGTTTCCATACAACACCCAGTGCTCATCCCAAAAGGTGCCCTCCTCAATTTTTAAAGGACCAGTCCAAGAATGCAGAGGTTTGGTTTCTGGTCCAGCTTTGCCGTTAAAACCTTGGCATTGGATAAATGACTTAACTTCCATTGGCCTTGGAGTTCTCATCTATAAAATGAGACATATTTGACTAACTGGTATCTATATTAAGATTCTCCATGGGGCGCCTGGGTGGCGCAGTCGGTTGGGCGTCCGACTTCAGCCAGGTCACGATCTCGCGGTCCGTGAGTTCGAGTCCCGCGTCGGGCTCTGGGCTGATGGCTCAGAGCCTGGAGCCTGTTTCCGATTCTGTGTCTCTCTCTCTGCCCCTCCCCCGTTCATGCTCTGTCTCTCTCTGTCCCAAAAATAAATAAACGTTGAAAAAAAAAAAAAAAGATTCTCCAGAGAAATGAGACCAATATAATAAAGAGATTTATTATAAGGAATTGACTCACATGATTATAGAGACTAGCAAGTCCGAAATCTGTAGGTTGGGCCAACAGGCTGGAGACCCAGGAGAGCTGATGTTCCAGTTCACATTCAAAGGCTGTCTGCTGTAGAAACAGAAAAGGCCATGTTCCATATCAAGTCCAAAGACAATCTTCTGGAGAATTTTTTCTTGCCTGGGGTTGGCAGGTATTTTGCTGTGTTCAGTTGAAGGATTTGATTAGATGAATTTCACCCACGTTATGGAAAGCAGTCTGCTTTACTCAAAGCCTACCAATTTAAATGTTAATTTCATCAAACTCATCCTTATAGAGATACCAAGAATAACATTTGGCCAAATATCTGGGTACCACATGATCCAGCCAAGTTGATGCATAAAATTAACCATCACAGTATCTAAGGAACTTTTAATTCTAATATTCCATAAAATTTTCACTCAGGATCTCCTGGCTCTCTGTGAGAATACTTAGGTCATGGCAGTAACTGTCTCAAGTCCAAAGCCATAGGCATGCCTTAATTCATCTAGCAAGTTCTCATTGGAAACATTTAATATGCCAACGATTATGTTAGTTAGAGAATTTGAATTTTATTCTATGAACAGTGTGAAGCCATCAAAAGGTTTTGAAAGGGGGTAGGGAGGATCTGATTTACATTTAAAAAGATCATTTTGGCTATAATGTGGAAAATGGCTTTGAGCAGGGCAAACATGGATATCAGTAAGGACATAAAATCAAGCAAAGACTTCGTGGTGGCCCAAACTGGATTGGTCGTGGTGAAGGTGTTGATACCATACCTTCAGGAATATATTAAAATACATCACTATAAAAGATACTTGTTTAAAATCAAAGCTGTAGAGCATCAAGTATGCATGATCCTTGATTTATTTCTTTTTCTCATAGAAGAAATATGATGACTACTGTTTGCTTTTTCATCATAAATGATGAGAAAAAGGGGCTGCTGGGTGGCTCAGTTGGCTGAGCATCTGGCTTTGGCCTGGGTTATGAACGCATAGTTTGTGAGTTCAGGTCCTACATCAGGCTCTGTGCTGACAGCTCAGCGCCTGGAGCCTGCTTCAGAATCTGTGTCTCCCTCTCTCTCTCTGTCCCTCCCCTGCTGTGCTCTCTCTCTCTCTCTCAAAAGCAAATAAGTAAACATTAAAAAAAAATTTAAATGATAAGAAAAATACTATAATCTTCACATAATTTTAAAAGAATCAATATGAAATGGTAAAATGTCAACACTTGGCCCATATTTTCCTAAATGTGAGCTAATTTACTTAAAAGGAATGGAAAGGGCTTTGAAAAACAATGGCCTCCTTTGATGGAGGCAGCCTAATCTAAGACTACTGTGGGACAGGAACAGACCAAAAACAAGGTGGTCACAAGATGCTTCACACACCACTTAAGCAGAAGGATACCATGTCTATGGACAAGCTTCGCAAGAAGGATACCACGTCTGTGGTTGCATCTGGCTATGACACAGCAAGAGAGCCTTTCTTGATCTGAGTACAGTGTAATTATCCTATTTACCCTTAAATACCTGGAGTTTTTCCTACAACCCCCAGCCAGAATTAGTTATTCCTCTGTGACACTCTGTGGGAACCTTTAGATATCACTTAGTATTTTCTGGTGTGATTATGTTTATCAGTTTGTCTCCCTCAGTAGATTGCGATGATGTGGGAACAGAGAATATATTTATCTTAGTGTCTTCATTAACCAGTGAAGCTCACAAATATTTATTGAGTGCATACTGGGTACCAATGTGACGCTTTCAAATTGTTTATTTTCTAAACTCCATGAAGGCAGAGTTTGAATGAGAAAATTTAGTTATTTACCTGCAAATGGTATGACTACTTTTGATGTGCCATTCTTAAACTTTCAGGATTATTTCTTTAATGATATCACGAGACCGAATCCTTAGACTTGGTATTTTCTGGATAAAATCAAGAATGAGATTTATATTTAGTGGCTAAAAGTGATCCTGTATTTTTTACAATCATTCTGCCGTCATTGGGTAGTTTTATATTACTCTTTGTATTCCATGGAGGAGTCTAAAATACCTTTCTCTCTTCTTTCCAGGGATCATAATTTTGACTATCTGGAGTTTCGCCTTTGGATTGGCTTGTGGTCAGCCTTCTTGTGTCTCATTTTGGTAGCCACAGATGCCAGCTTCTTGGTTCAGTACTTCACTCGCTTCACAGAAGAGGGCTTCTCTTCTCTGATTAGCTTCATCTTTATCTACGATGCTTTCAAGAAGATGATCAAGCTAGCTGACTACTACCCCATCAACTCCAACTTCAAAGTGGGCTACAATACTCACTTTTCCTGTGCCTGTGTGCCTCCTGACCCAGGTGAGGACACCATGCTTCATGTTGGTGCTTACCCTGTGTTTGGAGGAAGGTGTAGGCTCCATGCATGCAAGCTTTCAGCATGGTATCATGATCATCAGTAAAAGGTTTTATTTTATTTTCTCTGAGAAACCATCCTGCCAGATTTGAAGTTTTATTACCTAAGGTATCTTAGCCACGAGATTCAATCAGGAAGAGAAACCAGGAGCTCTGAAATGAACTCAACTTTGAAATTAGCTCAAACTGCAGTATTTGCAAGGAAATTTAGTGTACATTATTCTTCATCTTATCTGATAGTTGAGGAAACCAGATACAAATATTAACATATAAGGGCCAGACAAACCCAGTCCTCTGAACTTCTGTCCCATATTTTTCTGTTTTCTTATTGCTCTAGGAATCTCTTCCTGAAGTAAACTCTAAATAGATTATTTTGAGCTTATAGAAGAAACAAGATACTATTGACTTTATAGAATTTGAAGCATGAAATTGAAAAAGAAGTTCAGATTGTAGTATCTTAGCGGTAAAGAGGAGCGTTATAGTTCATCTGTGCTAGACCATGTAAGTAAGAAAGGAAAAGAAGAGATAAGAGAAAGAAAAGAAGGAATGTTATGCTCTCAGGGAAGATTTATATTCTAGAATTAGGAAAGATATAAAAGTAAAAAGTAAGTTCTGGGTAAGGAATATGATTCTATACACCCTAGCAGTCTAGTATCCCTCTAGCCAAACCTGGGTCAGCACCAGGACTTTTTCCCAAAAGGTGCTCAACTTGGTCTTTGGATTTTTTTTAGGGTAATTCATCATTTTATGATATGGAAGGCATTTGGAAGAAAGGATTCACTTTGGGGAAAGTTGTTTTATATCTGTAGAAGTTTGTGTCAGATAATTAAATGGTAATAGTGTTAGTTATCCCAGGTCATGCAATTAGCTACAAGTTATTGTCCCTTAAAATAAAAACTGATACACATTCCATGAAGGTCTTATAGCACCAGGAGTACAATAGCGTATGGGGGACCGTGTAAACCTGAGCAGAGATGTAGGGCACATTCATGCAATATGCACCTTTACGTATAGATTCTGCAGGAAAACCTCTTCATGTTTACAGTAAGACAGACGTGGGTGTATCGTAGACTAGAATGCAGACAAAATGATTATGAGTTTAAAAACAGAACAAAGAATTTTAATGCTGATTGCAAGCTGTGTTAGATTGCCCTCAGATATTTTGGTGCTGTATTTGCAATCTTCTCTGCCACTTGGGTGGAGAAACCTTAGAAGACCTGTATGCATCTTGAGTGACGAGTGACAAGAGAACAGTATCTCCCTAAAGTTGGGTTGGTCAGTAACACTGATGAAAAGATAGGTCATTGTTGGGCTTTGCACTCACAGATTCTTTTGTCTTATTTAAGGACAATCAATACACATTGACAGAAAGCGCATGCTTAAAAGCAGGAGTGCTGATTCATAAGGGCACTTGAACCCAATGTTTATAGCAGCACTTTCAACAATAGCCAAACTATGGAAAGAGCCTAAATGTCCATCAACTGATGAATGGATAAAGAAATTATGGTTTATATACACAATGGAATACTATGTGGCAATGAGAAAGAATGAAATATGGCCTTTTGTAGCAATGTGGTTGGAACTGGAGAGGATTATGCTAAGTGAAATAAGTCATATAGAGAAAGACAGATACCCTATGTTTTCACTCTTATGTGGATCCTGAGAAACTTAACAGAAGACCATGGGGTAGGGGAAGAAAAAAAAAGAGGTTAGAGAGGGAGGGAGCCAAAGCATAAGAGACTCTTAAAAACTGAGAACAAACTGAGGGTTGATGGGGAGTGGGGAGGAGGGGAGGGTGGGTGATGGGTATTGAGGAGGGTACCTTTTGAGATGAGCACTGGGTGTTGTATGGAAACCAGTTTGACAATAAATTTCATATTAAAAAAAAAAGCAAAGCAGAGACAGGTATGAAGTGAAAATGTAGGCAACATGAATGACATATAATCACAAAAGCTTTTTATTATTAAAATGTGTACTGATGACAAATATTTCATAACTTAAAAACTGCTTAGAGAAGAGTAGGCACTTAATACATGATAGATACTATTATTAGGATCAATTAAATATGCTTGAAACACAGATGTTACCATTACACAATCATATAGAACTTTTCCTAAATAAGAGGAGAGTAACCATCCATTGTGTACTTTCAGGGGAAGTCCAGACTATGCGCATTCAAACTATTGGCTCACAGACAAACTTAATTGTGGGATTTTGAACTTTCCGTTTCATTTATTTCTATCTTTATGTATTTATATGTCACTATTTCTTTATGAAAAAAGTGTGTAATCTGACTTCATAGGCAAGTCTAAGTAGTCATACAGTAAATTTTTTAAAGGAAAAAAAATACTCCTCACTTTTTTGAGGTTTGAGGTATTCATGAAGCCAGATGAGGGCTTTGTCAGCACACCTGTCACATAGAAGGTCTACTTACCTGAGGCTAATGGAAACTGGGGCTCGTTGTTTTAATTGGATGCTGGCAGAGATCATAATATAGAGCCAAGGAAGACATATTTGAACGTTTTAATTGTCAAAAATACATGAAGATTTTATGTGTAACTTTCCTTCCTAGAAGGACCATTGTTTTCTAGAAAATGTCATTGTGAAGCTTGAAACCTGCATAGTAAGTAGTCACTGAAGTGGAGATAGATGGCTTTTCCTTTGACCTGTTTTCCCCAGCTTGTATTGGAAGTCTGTCTTACAGAGTGAGGAGTTGTCTTGGAAGGACTCTGGCAATCTCTACTACCTCCAAGTGGGACCAGTAGTGAAGTGTAGCAGGGCTTTGAAGTCAGAAAATCTAGTATTTAAGCCCCGCTTGGCTAATGTTCTATGTGCGACTTCAGGCAAGTTCCTTTTCCCCGGGTGCCTCACCTTACCTTCCTCATTGGTACAAAGGGGTTAATAACTGCACCTACCTTATAGAATTGTTATATTGTGTGGAAAAACTGAGGTATTTTCTAGTACAGACAAAGTACTTAGGACGGTTTCTGGTATGTAATGACTAATTGCTAACTGACACTGTTACTGCGGTTATTATTATTAAAATTTAAGGTTAGTAAGTACGAATGATGGAAAAACAAACCAGTCTTCATCATGCCCCCTTCTGAGCAAACACTATTGGGCAGTTGGCTTATTTTATGACAAGACTGTTGGTCACACCCCATATTTTTAGAGTTGTCCAGGTGAAAGGCACTCATGAAGGATATGAACACGAATGGGAGGGATTTCCTTAAACTATGGAAATAAAATGTCTGTGGTTGGGAAAAAAGGCAAGTGGATATCTCCACTTTCATGATAAACCCTTAAGATTAGTGATTGTGTGTTTCTCTCCTCAAGATCTTAATACTTTTTGAAAGAAAACTATATACCACCATCAATTTAGTACTTCATGATAGCAAGTTGAAAAATGATAGTTATAGAATAATACAGTTGCATGTACAGCTAGCGTAAGTATTCTAAAAACAACAAAAGCCTGGCCTTTCATCGCAACATGCACTCCTAGTAAAAGAATTTAGTCAATGAGTCAATAATATTTAAACTGGCGGATTACTTGTTTTTCAACACTGGGACGTGTGTAACAGTGAACCAGCAACTACACAGATGGAGACATAGGCCTGCAAACTGAGAAGTGATTGTACAGGAAAGGAAATAGGGGTCACTTAATCCCTGTGAAAACTTGATTCACAGCTACAATAAGACTATGAGTTTTTTGTGCTTTGTGAAGACAACTCTTCCTCCTCTTTTCCTTCCTTGTCTGTCCTGTTCTCACTTGCTTCCATAAATCTTCATCACTTCCTGAGTTTTCTTTTCTTCATGCATCTTTCTCTCCCTTTCATCCCATCTATTGCTCAGGGACCAAAGTCATACTGAAGAACTAAGGAAGCCCAGTTGCAAGCACTAAAAGGAAAATTAGCCGTGTGGTTTGACAAAGCACTCAGGGTCAATACGTGGTTTTTGTGCTAAAATTTCTCTTTCTTAGAAATAGAGTCGCTATTAATTGATGGAGAGGTAATAGAGGTTATATCTCCACTGTGCCTTGATGTTTACATAGCAGAGATGTATAAGAAAGATGACTCAGTTCAGAAGCCAACAGTGCAAACTAAAAAATGTCCAATTAAAGGACAGTCCACAATATTACATTTCATCACCAACATCCCAATTGGGGAAACTTAGCGTGATAAAGTGTGAACAATATGTGCTTTGGAGTAAAGGGAAGTGACCATGATTCAGGTCTAACCAGCAGTGTGACCATGGGCTAGGCTAATTACCTAATTTCTTTGTTTTTCTTAACCTGTGAGCTGTGTTAATAATTGTACCTACTCTTAGAAGTTACCATATGGATTAAATGAAATAGTATATGTAACGTTTGCCACCTAATAGACACTGAGTAAAAATTTGTTCTTATTCTTATTTCTCCTTTTTCCACAAAAGATGCCCCAGCCAGTTTAATCTTTTAGTTGTATTCTTTTAAAGGGGTTCAAACATTTAATTTTCCCTGAAATTTTCCCAATGGAGTATACTAACTAGGTTCTTACTAGAAGCCTCCCCCCCCCCCCCCCCCCCCCCCCGCCAACCGCAAGTTAACAACTAATGTGCTGTTGTAGATAAATATGAAACATTGGAGCCATATTTAAAGAAAAAAGTGTTAAGGAGTTCAGTACGTAGTAGTTAGATCATTTAATATTATTCCATTGAATCTCAAGTCTACAAAAGTGTTATACACTATATATAATGTGGAAGAAGGCTAGAAAGTCCTTTCCCCTTCCCTGAGGGGAAATGTTCATTTCTTTTAAGTTGGTCTGATTCACTCAAAAACAAATGACAGAATTTTGTAAATAAGGAATAAGATATGATCTTTCTTCTTTCTTTTCCCCCCTCTCCTCTCCCTCCTTCTCTTGCCCTTTTATTCCTTTCCTTTCTACTATCAACAAAAATTTATAGAGGGT